AATCATCTTGGTGTAAGAATAATCATCTTGTTTTCAGAATGTGTAAGATTATTTGTCTTGTTAGTCTGAAAATTTGACTCTAATTAAGTCAAACATTTCTGCCAGTGGAGGAAGAACATTTTACTTGGTAAGATTCTTGAAATAAGAAAAAATTGAGTCAAATCAAGTATTTCAAGATCAAAAAGACTTTTTGGCTGATATAAGGTTTTAAAACTTGGTAAAATGGACAGTTTTTGCAGTGATCCAACCATCAAAATAAGATCTTAATAAAAAAAAACAGAGCAGTTCCTAAAAACAACCAAAGTGAGGATTAAAGTAAAAACGGTGACTTTAAAGCTTGTTTTCATCATTTTCCTTCAAAACGAAGGAGGTTGCTTAAGAGTAGTGCACAGATTAGGATTAAGATGATGTATATGTGTGTTAATGTGTGTGTTAATCTGTGTTAATCTGTGTGTTAATCTGTGTTAATGTGTGAAGTGGGTGTTAATAAACCAGCGGCTCTCACCCAGGTTGACGAAGCTCATCACGGTGTCAGCCTCGCTCACCACAGCCCCCAGCGGTGGTGTGTGCGTGCTGAGGGTGGGCAGCGCCGCGTAGCTGACCTGCGTCGCCGCCCCGAACCTGCCGGCGCCGCCCGGCCCCAGCCCGTCTACCTCGTTGTCGTCGTCGGCCGACATGGCGTGGTACAGGTCCAGCATGAAGAGCGGCGCCGAGGACGGGGGCCGCAGAGGCGGGTGGGGTCTGGGCCGGCCCGGCAGACCCAGCAGGTTCAGGATCTCCTTCTGCATCTCCTTCTTCTCGCGGCCGCTCAGGCGCCGGAAGCTGGAGTGGACCACGGCCTCGGCCTGCTGGCTCCACAGCGAGGCGCAGAGCAGGAGGAGCAGCAGGGTGGAGGTGGCTCCGCTCTGCATCCTAAAGGAGACTCCTGAGGCCACCAGGTTCCTCTGGTTCTGCTGCTCGACCCGTCTCCAGCCCAGTCAGCGCGGACAAACACAGGCCTGATTTATGCCTGAGGTGTTTAGACCAGAGCCAGCTCTGTTTACTCCTCCTCTTCCACCTTCTGTAATCTCAGAGCCTCCTCTCTCCTCCAGCTCCGGGCTCAGGCAGGATCAGATGAGGAGAGTGAGAACATAATTACAAGCTTTTCCTCGTGTGTTTTGAGTGCAAACAAACAACGACTCTTTGGAAGATTGCTTTGGGCTTTGAAGTCAAAAACTTGGAGGACGAGGAGCAATTTCTGTGATGAGCAGGTGGGTTTTATCCTCGTGCCAGCAGGAGATGAAGAAACCTGCAGGAGCTCCGCGGCTCCAAAACGTCCCAATTAATCCAAAGTAAAGCACTTCCTGTGTCCAGCTGTGAGGTGTTCCTCCTCCTCCTCGCTGCTCGCTCCGACTGAACCCGGTCCAGAGGGATGAGGGAGTTACCCTCCGAGCTTCAGCCTCTCCTCCTCAAACCTCTCTGCCCTTCATCATCTCCCCTCCCAGCGGTCTCTTTGGAGACCTCATCCGCTTAGCTCCGCCCATTTATCTTCTCATCTGCTCATGACTGCTTCCTTTCATTGCTGCTCAACACTGAGGCTCTGGCAGCCCCATGTTYGCTTTAACTGTAAACTCACTGCGAGGATTTTAGCCTTTTTTTTTGTCCTACAGCTGAAACATGATGCAAATATCTGGAGATGATTATTAATTTATAAAAACTACAGCAGATTTTTGAGTTATTCATTAGTTAGAGTGCCATCTATGCCAGAAGGACACGGAGGGGAAAATAAAAAATTCAAATATAGTTGAGAGATTCGGCTGGTGTTTGTGCGCTCTCCTCTTCAAAGACTCTTGTGGTCTCTTTGAGCAGCACGAAGAACACTGACCAAACCAAAGTGACCACCGTTCGCTCTGGCCTGAGCCAAAGGGCGAGTCCTGAGATGCCAGGGATTAACCGTCACCTTGTTTTGGTTTCTCCACACATCTGTGGGACTGTTAGGAGCCATCCGCAGAGATAAAGGAGTAGAAGAGGAGGAGGTGAAAGGACAGGAGGGAGTTAGTGAGGAGTATCTGAAAAAAGAGGGAACTCAGAAAGAACTGGCATTCCTGACGGCAGAAAAGAGACCAGAAAAACGTCTGGGATGAAGGATAGACCGAGATGAACCGGACAGAAAACGAGGAGTGTGAGTGTACACACAGCTGCAGAGGGCGGACTCAGACCTTTTTAACTCCAGCGGAGACGTCCAATAAACAGGACCGAGTTTCAAACCCTCTGACGCGAGCCGGGATGGTAGCATTTAAAAGTTAGGACCGAGTGGAAGTGAGGAAATAAAAGTTTAAAGCCACCACAAAGTCCCTGACCCCGTGTTTACCTTCTGCACAGACGTGAGGATCCAGCCGGGTGGGGTTTAATCTCCGATGATTCGCACATCTCAATTACCAAGAAATGTCCGGTGACTGGATGTGGTCTGCTCCGAGACACGCACAGCAGAACAAGAAAAACATGTTCAGGACTTACACCATTAATAACCTGTTCACAAACACAGGCTGTGCTGTAAAAACACCTAAACTGATTATTCACAGTAGAAAAACTAAAATATACACATAAACAAGCATCTGTGTTGTATTGATGGGAGTTTTTTTTAAGTAATTCAATTGGTTTTACATGAAAAATAAAATAAAATTTAGCAAAATGACATTTCTCAAGTATTTTTTATTTCAAATTCCAATGCAGTGAACTGTATAAAATTACTAATTTCCGATGCAGATCCAACACAAACAGTTAAAGTAATGGTTCAACAGAACCTCTTCCAATCAGCTGACAGATTAACAAACACTGTAAAATGATTCGATCAGAAAAATGTTTATTTCATTGCCTCAGGTTTAACATGAAGAGCATAAAATAGTAAATAAATCACTACGTTTTGTACGAGGGTGTCACTACATTAGACAGAATTTATTATTAAAAGGAGTTACATTTGAGATTTAAACTTTATAACTCTGTGATTTATCTTGTTTATAATCCTAAAACCATGTGTCAAATCAAACTTTTAAAAGTGGTTTAAAATCAGGACAGTTCTGTTTATTTTGTACCAACTGTTGGGAACAGAGTGACTTAATTATTTAGCTATCTGATGCATTTTGTTTATAAACTAGCAAACTTACAAAAACATTTTCTAGTTGAAAGCAGCTAATTAAACCAATATGATTTGAATAAAACTAAACTGAACAAAAACACTGACTCAAAATGCCATATATTAAAATATAAATGTTAATAAATTTGATGTATTAAAAATCAATATTAGAGGCTTCAGATTAGCTTAGCTGAATGAGCTAACCTGGCTAGCTGAGCGGGTTAGCTCAAATGCTAAGCTAACACCGTGAGAACACGGAGGCTTTAAAAACAATCAGGTGTTGTGTTGTTGTGACTGCTGAGATGTTAAACTGTCTTAACAAAATGCAGTTAACATCAGAACACTTTTTGACACAACATCAACAAAACTTTGACGTCTTATTTCCCCCTGAGGTCGACATCGTGGAAGTACGAGATTTGGTTTCTCTAACATATTTCACGTAGTATTTTCAACTAAATGTTTTATATTTGTTATTATTCTTTTTATTGTTGTCGACATTTGTGACAAAGTGAAACACAAACCTGAAGTCTTCTTCGTCGCTTCTGAAAATGGTGAAGACGAAACAGACGAACAAACCTTTCCCGGTCACTCTTTGGATCAAACCATTATAAACTATGGGGGGGGGGGGGGGGGGGGGGTATGAAGATATTATAACCTTTGAAAACAGTATTTATTTTTGCGATGATCACAAAATATTTACATGGATAATATATCGTACATGTATTTGTACAGTTAAACGTTTAAATGGACGATTCCTCTTTTTCTAATAAAGAAATATGGATTATGACCCCCCCCCCGCTGTGATGCCCATATGAGGACTTCCGCCTCCTGTTAGACAGCATGACTTTTGCTCTTTAGCATTTTGGATAGCATTTTGCTATACTGTTCAGCTACTTTTTAAATCGTCTTTTGCTACATTAAACTTTCAGCTAATTTTAGCTACTTTCAGCTATATCAAAATGCTCCCTTTAGTTTAAATTTTTCCATTTTCAGGATAACTACATGATTCTTTTAGCTAGCATTGTGCTACATTTAGCTTTAGCAGCTTCTTTAGTAAGCTTCAGTAGTCATTCAGCTCTCAGTGTTTACTCCACAGTATTTTCACGGGGAAAAAAATTAATCCCAGAGCAGAGTCAGTTTTATTGCAAGCATATTTTTAATACAAAAACAGAAAAAATGTTTATAATTTTAGTTCATTTTAATTTTACAGGTGAGTCCCTGTTACTCATCCCTCCCTTCATGTTGTCTGAGAGGAGCCCTCCCCCATCAGAGAGACAATAAATAAATAAAAATCACCTTAAGATGTCTTCTTACTGTTTCATTAGTTTTTATAAACTTCATCTCTTACATTGAGAAAACATGGAGACGACTCGGGACATTTTGAAAAAAAGCCTAGAAGAAGAGACGCCGTCCCTTCAGGTCCTCTGTCGTCCATATTTGTAGTTCTCTACACATGAAGGGAAACCCCTTTGGTCAGATAACTGTAGTCCTTCTCGATGAGGAAACATGAACAACCAGGCTGCGTCTATGAGTCATGTTACAACAGAATAGAAACACTTTTTACACACAAATCATGTCAAAAGAGCAGAGTGGACACTGAAAAAAAGAGAGAAGAAATGTCGTTATCCATAATACTAAATCACTGCTGACGGTGATATGACATGAAAAATAAATAATCTTTTCAAGCTAAATAACAAAACTGGATTATAAATAAGTCAGAAAAACATTTGCAAATTAACATTTTGCATACAGTGACACACAAGTCAATGACCTTTTGTTTCCTGTAACACACACACACACGATGCACGTCGTGTGTGTGTGTGTGTGTGTGTGCAGCAACAGAGCGGCAGAGGATTAGTGCATGCTGGTTGTCCAACACGGTTGTTAACATGTTACGTGTTGTGAGTAATGTGCAGTAAAAATAGTCCTGTCTATTGCTAGCTTGTGATTATTTTCTTCTGGTCGGATTGTTGACAAACCGCGCCGCCCTCTGCTGCAGGCCTGCAGCGGTGGGGGGGCGGAGCTTGTCCTCAGCTCCCCCGCTGATCCCCGCAGCCTGAGGTTAGCCGCTCTGCGTGTCCCGTTTGTGTGCGTCAGACTGCTGCTGAGGTGAGCGTTTTCTCGACAGCCAGGAAGCGGCTCGGTCAGTCGGTTGCATATTTTTCCTCTTCTGATGCATCCTTGAGGCATCTGGCCCACAAGCCAAAATTATTTAACCACAATTCTTGTTTTTTTTTTGTTTGTGCAGCTGTTGTGGTGGCACTCCCTGCGCCGCCTCTCCCGTCTGTCAGTGTGAAGTTCTGTCGGATCAGAACCAAGTGTGTAACATGAGTAAGGCGTCTCGGTTGGTTCCTCGCTGCTGAACAGGAGGAGGAGACTGGAAGGCAAACTGGGGTCTTCAGGGTTAAAAAAAAGTGAAGACCCCAGAACTCTGATCTGTCTCCTCTTGTGCAGGTTCACAGTCAACGTTAGAGGACGAGGGGACACTCTGTCCTCCTTCGTCCCCTCAGAAGCATCAGTCATAGTGCAGAAGTTCTAGACAAGATGGATGTCCAGAGTGACGCTGGTAAGATGGCCGCCGAACGACCGCACGATTCTGGGTTTACTTCTTCGCGGACCCCGGGGTCTTTGGGCTGGGCGTCTTCTTGGAGATCATTGGGATCTTGGAAGGCTTGGCTCCGCCCCCGGGTCGCCTCGGGGTGTCCGAGGCGTCCGAGCAGACGGAGCGAGCGTCCTGCAGCTCCGAGGCGTCCGAGGCGTCGCTGCCGCGCCGACTGCTAGCCCTGCTGCCGGCGCGACTTCCGGCGCGGCTGCCGGCGCGGCTGGTCGGACCGCTGGCTGTCGCAGACCCTCGCTTTGGATCTGGAAGGTGGAAAAGTTTTTTTAAATTTAATTTACTTTTTTTTTTTTAAAGAAAAGTCAAAGAATTACAGCAAAAAAAAATTTTATTTAGCTGTTTTGATGGTCTTTAACATGTTTTTATTAGAAACTAGGTTAAAAAAAATGTTAAGCTAACCGCTAATGCTAATTTAAAAATAAAAAGTCTCTAATTCAACCTTTTTAAGTCTTACAGAGCTCAAAACTGGTATAATCGTAGCCAAGAATAATCTTTGACAAATTCTGAATTCTAACTAAAAATCCAAGATGGCCACCATAACTAAAACGCAAAACTGACCATCACTGAGCCATTTTTAGACATATTTGCCTCAAACTTTTTCTTTTCTGGAAAGGATTTGGACGAACTAATACAATAGAAGAAGAAGAACTAGTTGGGTTAAAGAAGTGGTTTGATTACAAAAGACTATCCATAAACAAAAATAAAAACAAATTCATGACATTATCTGGTAATCGGATCCACAATGATGTAAAATTAATTTTCAGGTGTTTTTAATCTAAACTCCGATTTAAAGGGCCTGAAGTCAAAGAAAACATTTATATTTAATAAAATTAGCATAATACACATGATTTTACCCATTTTGTCTCATAAATCTCATATTTTCTCTTGAATTTATCTCAGCAGAGTGAAACAGGAAGTGACATCAAAGGGGAACCCTTTAAGAAAATAAAATCTCTGGTCTTTGTTTATTGAAACAATCTTATTTAAACTCTTCTTCAACTCTGATAGTGACTCAATATAATCTAAAGAAACATCAGATTCTTTAATTATTGTAGCATCGCTCTGTTTACATGCAGACATTCTCCTTTGACGTCACTTCCTGTTTCTTCACATGCAACATCTCAACAGCGTGACATTTATTTTACGTTATCAATGTTCTTTCACATTTATGACAAACGTTTGACGTCACAGACACTTTGAAGTTTATGTTGGTCCGACTCACCGGTTCGTTTGCCGCTGTGCGCCGTTCCTCCGTTCTCTCCGGTCAGGGAGCCTCGGCTGGAGTGGAAAGTCGGCCTCTTCAGTTTGGACCCTGACGGCGCCCCCTGTAGGGAGAGAGAGGATGACTTCACCGTGAGCCGACGTCAAACTAAAACTACTTTACAAACAGCACGACGTCACCACGAACACAAAGAACAAACAACAAATATTTACACGTATAAAGAAGAATAAAAATAATGATTAAATAAGTGACTCGTCAACATGTCTTCTGTGAGCTCTGAGCGAACAGAGACACAGTGCTGAGCGAAATAATCTGACTTAAATACATCAAACTTAAAGGAGAAGCTCCTGGGTGGAGGCATGAGGGTTAGTGCTTCAGTTCGCTCAGGGGGCGGGGTCAGGGAGGGAGGGGTGAGTGTGTTACCTCGTGGTCCTGACCCAGATCGGGGCAGCAGTGGCACTTGGTTGGCGTTGGAGTTTTACTGTGTGCAAGCCAGGGCTTGGCATAGTCACGCGTGTGGGTGTGGGAGGACTGAAGGGAGGAGGGACAGGAGGAGCAGAGGAGAAGCAAACGCAGGGAGGAGGAGGAGGAGGAGGAGGAGTGGGGCAACCAAGTGTGTTGTTGTGTGAAAGCGGATGGTTTTAATTTGTAAACAAAGCCGGGGAACGATTCAAAGGTTAGCAGGATTTAAATGACAGGAAAGATGACAGAAAAAACAAACAGAAAACGACAATAAATCAACAACATGAAACAATAAATCAACAACATGAAACAATAAATCAACAACATGAAACAATAAAKCAACAACATGAAACAATAAATCAACAACATGAAACAATAAAGCAACAACATGAAACAATAAATAAACATGAAACAGAAATAAGTCACTACTTCAGAGTCAAACAGTAAAAACAAAACATCCTTTAAGGTTTTAGAGCATTAAACAATCGATTTGATCAGGTTTGGCCCGAGTCAGTCCTCCACCACCGTGCTGACAGTTTGCTGCAGTGCATTCTGGGTAAACTGTTTCAGTCTGCTTTTAGGGTTTTTCATACAAAGTCAGGCTGTTTGTTAGAAAAGGATGACCATGTCTCAATTCATGGGTTGTAGCCGACATTACGTTTTTCTGATTTTTACCACTGGATTTAAGTACTTTTAACAGAGCTTGGAAGTGTTTTTTTTTTGTAGCACTTTGAGATTTTTGTTAATGAAAAGTGCGTTACAAATTAAATTCATCATCATCATCATCATCATCATCTTACATCACTGCCCCGCGTCGTAGGCCATCCCAATTCACCGGCGCCTACACATGCAGCCGACAAAACCCCCAAAACATCGTCTGCATCCTACTATCCTACGCTGCTGACGGTTTCCCAGAATTCATCGCGCTGTCATCAAATTTAACTAAAAAACAAAGACGGTGAACTATTTTCTATTTTACAGCAGAGTTTAATTTATTACGGTGGTGTTTGGAAACTTACCACCAATCAAAAAAATGTAAACAACTTGAAGCATTTGTTGCACTGAGATGTTAAAAAAATGCACTTCCAAATACTGATACTGGAGTTAAACTACATACATACATACATACATACATACATACATACATACATACATACGGGGTGCAACAATACATGTACCTGTATCAAACCGTATGGAACAATACAGATTTTTAACTTTAATTTTATCAGCTTGTCTTCTGAAGATGCTCTGTGTTGAAGGATCAGT